ATAAAATAAAATAAAATAAAAAAAAAAAAAAGGAAACCCAGCAACTCAAGCTAACAGAACATGGTCTTGATAGCATCAAAGAAATCATTCATTCTAGCAAATGCACAATTAAGGGCCCAAAAGTTCCTTTATTTCACAAAGGGCTGCATGGCAAAGCAAGATTTTGCCCAGCACCCCTGCCCAGCCCCATCTCCCATGGGCATGACTTCACCTGGACTCATCTCATCCTGCTCGCTCAGTTTATAGTGTTTAAACAGGAAAGTCAGTGTCCCCGTTACAGATGGCCTGTTCTTTAATGTCCCAAGGCCGAGCAGTACCTGTCGGGATGGGGATGAAATTCGAGCAGCAGGCCCCTGACTGGTCCTGACTCTATCATCAAACCTAGCAACACCAAGTTTATATGAACTCCTTCCAAAGAAAGGCTGCAGCAAACTTACAGTCCAAGCTTTCTGCTCCGATTCCCAGGGGGAAATGATAAAAAAAGCATCCACGTCTTGCTAACCAAAAAGATGGTTATTTTTTAAAAACAACAAAAAAAAAAAACCAAAACATCCAAAACCAGGTACCGAATGAAGGCTTGGTAGAAGAGGGACTCCAATTTGATGAAAGGATCTTGGCATGTCCTTTTTATCTACGGGGTCCAGGAATAAGCCCTCCAGACATTTCTCACGTGGACAGCGTTCCAACTCCAAGTCCAAAGTGGGAACACCTTTGTAGCGCAGAGAGGAAAATGGTGTAGCTGGGAATCACTGGCATCTTGGAGATCATTTTCCTACCCGCCACAGACTCCCAACTTTCAGGGCAGGTTGCTAGCATTCCAAAAAACATTCTTGAAGTTGTCAGGAGTAGACAAGTAAGGAGCTGATGGTCTGGGAGGTGTGATCCTGGGTCCTCACGAGGGTTTCAAGAACCAAAGAGCCTAGAGGCAGAAGGCAGAAAGACCTGTGAAAGTGGGAAGTCACTGCTCTGAAACACACTTCTAAAAGCTCATTTCTTATTACTATTACTTAGGCTACTTGACCTCACTTCCTGATTTGTGAGAAAGTAACTCTGAAAAAGTATACACATCTACAAATTTATACAAATTTAGCCCCTTTTCCATCACTTCAAGTCAATGATGATTTTATAAATAAAACAGAACTTTGGATAAACAGATGATCGCCGCCCACCGCCACCCCCCACAGCTCTGATCACTTAAAACACCTAGATTATACAAAAGACACTGGGTTAGGAGATGAGTACCTAAGTTATGCCTCACCACAGGGCAGGTAACTGCACTTCTGTTAAAATAAAGAACTCAAATGCTTTGTTACAGTATCACTTTTCCACAAAAGTAAAATCATATGGTTTATTCGCCAAATGACAACAAATAGCACTGGATGAGTGGACGTCCATATGCAAAAGAAAGTATGGAATCTATGACACACTAATAAAATTAAAAAAAAAAAAATTAAAAAAACCCCAAACTCAAACTGGATCAAAGGTCTAAACCTAAGAGCAAAAACAGTCACACTTTTGAAAGAAAACATAGGGGCAAGACTTCATTTGGAAGCAATTTCTGAGATATGGTACTAAAATCTTAATTAAAGGAAAAAAAGATCTATGCTGTTGGTGCTGTCCAGTGGAGTCCAACTCAGATCAAAAAATACATGAGACTTCACCAAATTAAAACCTTGTGTGCTTCAAACGGCACCACTAGGGAAAGAAAAAGGCAACCCATATAATGGAAAAAAGATACGCAAGTCCTAAGTTTTACAAGAAACGGCTACCTAGAATATAAATAAAAATGCATGATATTACAGTGTTAAGAAAACCAAACTGGGGGCGGGGGTACAAACAATCAGACTAGACATTTCTCCAAAGAAAAAAATGGACAATTAGCCATCAGAAGATGATTATCATTGAAAATTAAAAAAACCGAAATCTCACTGAGGTATTCACTACCTCCCACCCAACAGGAAGAAAAGGGCTACAAGAGAGGACGGTGTGGCTGTGGCACTGGAACCCTCTGATGTGACTCGTGATGTGAGTGCAGCCATCATCTGGAAAGCAGCCTGGCAGGCCCTCAAAAAGTACAGAGTTACCATGACCTAGCAATTCACTCCTATGTCCACACTCAAGAAGAATGAAAAACGTGCCCTCACACTTCACAATTCTGTAAAACATTTAGAACAGGACTAGTCACAGGGGCTCCAAATTAGAAGCATCTCAACAACAGATGAATGGGTAAACTCAAGGTGGGCCACCCAGATGAGAGAGAGAAATGAAGTCCTGATCCATATATGACACAGGTGAATCTTGAAACAGTATGCTGAGTGAAATATAAGCCATGTATGATTTCGTTTATAAAAACTATCCAGGACAGGCAGATCCTTAGCGACAAAAAGCAGGTTAGTGACTTGTCGGGGAAGGGGAGGGAGAATGGTCCATGACTGCTAACGGGTACAGATTTTTTGTTTGGGGAGCTGAGAACATTCTTTAATTAGATTTTAAACTAAAGACTACTGAATTGTAAATATAGACTGTCACTTTTTACTCATAAATTGTTCGTTCCCTATGGTCTAACCACCTCATTTTCTATCTTACTGTTGCAATATTTTATTATGAAAGTTCAACATATAAGAGTAAAAAGGCTTGGCGAACATTTCACACCACGTACGTTCTGCAACTAACACTTTATTTACTGTGACTCAATCTACCTGCCACCTTATATGCTATTTATCCAACATCCTTAGCAAGCAAGCTGCAGACATCTGAAGACTTGACCCCTACACAGACAAGTTTCTCTCATTACTTCATTTTAAAATTTCTCATGGTTTTTTTTTTTCTCATGGCTTTTGAATTCCCAAAATGAAGCACTGGTGGTTGAGTGGTTGAATCCTCCCCTTGACTTCAGGCGACATGGGTTCGAGCCACAACCACTGCCCCTCAGGTGCAGCGACCTTCCCGCCCATGTTGCTATGATACTGAAAAGGTTTTAGTGGCGAGGAAGTGGGCCTGGGGATCTACTTCTGAAAATGGGTCAAGAAAACTGCGATGGATTACAATGGTCTGCTCTGCAGCAAGAGTGGTGAGGGTGTGAGAAGCAGTGTTTTGCTCCACCGTGCATGGGGTCATCAGTGGGGGCCGACTCGATAGCAGTAAGAAGACAGTATCCCAAAGTGGTGGAGGTCAAACAATGCAGAAGTGGATGTTGAGAAAGTGGAACCATCATGCTGACCCGACCAGGGTCCTCAGCAATTCTGACTGTTGCCTCCACGGGTCACCTGGAGCAGATCCTTCCCACATTTTCATGAAGCAGTGTTTCCTTCACATCATTCTTGCACTCACTCATTTATGTGTCATCGAATCAGAACTGACTCACAGATGACCCTCCAGCAGGTTTTCAGAGGCAATAAATTGCACAAAAGGAGATGCCATATGACAGCTAGTGGATTTGAACTGTGTGCCTTAGGAATTGCAGCATAGCTTCTTACCACTAGGCCACCGGAGAGAGCAAATTCCATTCGAGCTCCATACAGACATTTTCACTTTCAAAACAGTTCACCCTATGAATAAAGCCTTCTGGAAACTCACCAACATGGTGTTTCAACGGCTGGTCAGACAAGTGTTCTCTGACCTTTCCCCTGTTCCTGAGTACCAGGTGATTTCCAGTTTTCTGGTGTCTTGGAGAAGGAAGTCACCTGACTCCCTACTAAGGCCTTTCTTGAGAAGCCCTTCCCACCCACAGTTAAACACCTGCTGTTGCATTAACTCCACTGAATCCACCAGATCTTTGCTCTTCGCACACTGGAGTGTGGAAGGTCCAATCACGCCTGTTCAGCATCACGTTGCTGTTAGGAACCAGTGTCAACTCAAACTCAGTGACCTTATGGGTGACAGTACAAAACTCCATCCTACACCATCTTCACAGCCTCTGCTGGGCTTAAGCTCACTGTTGTAGCTACTACATTAAATCATCTCATTGAGGGTCTTTCCCTTTTGCAATAACCCCTACTTTTCAAAACATGATGGGATCTCCAGGGTCTGGTCCCTCCTGATAACATGTACGATAAATAAGATAAAGTTTCACCATCTCTTGCTTCTGAGGCACCCTCTGGCTGTACCATTTCCAAGTTTGATATATTTGGAAATTTTGGCAATCCATGGTTTATTCACTAATTCTTCGACAACACCAAAACTCTCAGACATTCCTTTTTTTTTCCCAGTCTTCCTCACCCATTGTCCAACTTCACATGCTTATGATGAACCAATCAGACATATCTGCTTGGGGCACCTTACGCTTCAAAGTGACATCTTTGTCATCAGATGTGCTCAATGCCAATGATGCCATTTTGAGTTCTTGGCTGTTGCTTCCCTGAATGTTAACTGGATTCAAATGAAACTAAATCCTCGACAACTTCAATCTTTTCTCCAAACTTATGGACAAATAGTGATTCAGCATTACAGCAACACAAAGCTCTCCAGAGACAGATGAGTGGTGGCTGGACCCACGGTGTAGTGGTTGGGAATCAGAGCTGGATCTCGTGTTTGGAATTCAAAAATTTTACCACTGAACCACCATGGCCCCAAACCAACCCAGTAGGGCTTTTCTAAGCCTAATGCACAAGTGAAGATAGGCCCGCAAATAGAAATAAAGTCTATTTAAAGACATTTCTCCTGGTCATCAGTGAGGCTGAAGTAGTGCTGGCCATGTGCCCTGTGCTGGTATGAGATGATCAGGTCATGGGCTAGGGGAAGATATCTCTACTCAGTGCCTAACAAGACACCTGACACAGGCAGGCCTCAGAGAACACCCTGTCCCAGTCAGAGCGCTGGCCCACAGGACTGTGGCAACACAGTTTAACCCCTGCAAGTCTCCAAACTCTCTGCTCACTTAGAGAGCTGTTTCTCTGGAAACAGCCAGTGTGATACAGAAGTGTGCACTATGAGGATGGAGAATGATTGTGGGGCCAGTCCTTTCTGGAGAGTAACTCTAAGAAGGTGAACATAAGACTTACACGATCATACAGAACATCATGAAAATGTTCCACAGGGCAATGAAGATCCGGAAGTACCTGAGGCTCAGTAAGAACTCCCGTATATTGTCACCTGAAAAGCAAAAAGATGCTTTTACAACAATGCTAGGGTTCTGGCTGGTCACAGCAGGTGTACCTGGCTTCCGCCCACCTGATACCTAGTTCCCAGTGTTTTCAGTGAAACCCCCACCACATCCCCACCCTAAGTTCACAGGTCTTGGCTGTCATTAACAAGCAATCGCCAGAGCACTGAGCCCCCAGTCTCTGACTGGCTCAAGGAGGAACATGTGACCCAAACGTGTCCACTGACAGCCAGCCCTGCAACTTCTGCCCCAACAACTGGCTTCTGCTGGGTTCACTGAGCTGAAAGACTACACGTCCAGTCCTCCCAGCAAGGGCTGGCGGATACCGGATGCCCAATTTTATACTGTGTGTCAAGTAAATACAGTTTTAAAATTATTAACAGAAAGAAAAAATAGTCTGTGAGGTGTAAATTACTAAATTTCCTTGGGGCTGATTCTAACTCACAGTAACATCTAGTATGCCACAGGGTGATTTTTCAGAAGTTTTCAGGTCTTACTCCAAGATGCCTTGGGGCCAACTCAAACCTCCACCATTCTGGAGAGCAGTAAATGTATTAATTGTGTGCACCACCCAGGGATATTTTCCTCAAGTCCAGGGTAGCCACTCTCAGATGCTGAACTGAGGTTCCTGGCTCAAGTGGCAGCTAGACGCTAGGAACTCAGGAAGGAACAAACAAATGATTTGCCCTCCAGGAGTCCACAGCAATAACAAGTACTAGAGAAGCACCCCACACGGGGATCTGCCAACATAATCTGCTGTGGATCCAATCAAATGTGTCTGTTAGGGGTACAGGGTCAGAGGAAACCTCTTCAAGAAAACCACTGATGGGCTCAGAGCCCAGCTCTCTCAAGGGCACTTCACTCACACCAGAGGGGTGGGGTGGGCAGTGCTCCCGCACAGAAAGCGAGAAGACCACGTGTACACAGCACACTGAGGAAAGGCCAAGCCAGGCCCCATGCCAGCTGTCCCTATGACTAAAGAGGCTCTCGCCACCTCTGAGCCTTTGTGCCTATCTCTCAGCCACCACGTGCAAAGCTCCATCTCAGTAGGGTTGTAATACCCGGTGCCCACAGGGGCGCCTCTGCTCTGCATGTTCCAGTCAGAGCAGCACCTCCTCACTACCGTTACACTCTAAAAGCATTTATCCAACCTGACACAATCCTACTGACTGTCCTAGCTCTAACAACTGTTCTACCCCTCTATGGCAAGTCCCATAAAGCAAGGATAGGTATCTTGTTCCCTGCTGTGTCCTCAGCACTGTGCCCAATGGTTGGCAGGTAGCAGTTTCAATAAACATTTGGCAAACGAATGAATGGATAAACACAAAAGTCATGACTAGATACAACAACTCAAGTGTCATTAGGCAGTACATATTACATTGTAGCCCAAAATACAGGTCAGCATCCATCACACAGCTGCAGGTGAGGCTGTTCATGCATTCATTTCAGCAGGCTGGCACTAGATGCCCTAACAGCCTCTGGCCTTTTCTCTGAGTTGATGGTTAAGTGTGAACAGACAACACTGTCCAAAAATATAGCTCCAACTGTTGGAGGAGTAATACTTGCTAACTTATTTGGGGGAGTCTGTGGGATGATGGCAAAAGATATGAGCAGAAAGAACAGCACATTCTCAGGCCTAACACAATACAACATAAAACATAACACAACACATAATTCATGGTGACTCAGACAATGCCCAATCTGCACCATTCCATGATTGGTTGTGGATCAGACCACTGAGATTCTGTGCTAATCCATCTTACCCTGGAAGCCCTACTGTAATCTATTCAGTATCTAGCCTCCAATGTCAGACAGGTGGTGACAGAAACAATGCATGACCAGTAATCGAACTCAGGTCTCCCTCATGGGAGGCAAAGGTTATAGCACTTAGCGACCAACACCTCTCTGGAAGTTTTATCTCTGACAAAGTGCACCAAGTAGAGAAGCTGTCTCCTCTTCCAGAATATTCCTTCTGTTTCCCTCTTCAAACTCCACCTGGTGTTAGTTCTGTATCCTGCCTCATTTCCTGTTACCATCAGGTCAACTAGTGCTCATGAGGACACCCTGTGTCACAGAGAAGAACTGTGTGCTCTAAGGTTTTCTTGGTTGCGCACATGGCCAGGAGAGACCGGTCCTTGGAGAATGACATCATTCTAGGAAGGGTGGAAGGACAGCGCAGGAGACAAAGACCCTGGATGAGATGGATTGACACAGTCACAGGGGCAACTGGTGTTGGTGTGTCGGTATTAGTCAGATGGGCTCAGGATATAGGGAAGGGTTCAGAGTTGCTGTACACAGCGTCGCTATGGGTCACAGGTGACTCAACAGCACCTAACGACAGTAACAGCAGTCTATGGAAGCCAACCCCCCAGAACCTTTCCTCTGCTCCACTGCTGTGTGGGTTCTAACCACCAATGGTTAGCTTCATAGTCAAGTAAACATCATGTGCACCACCAAGCGATTACACACACACACACACACACACACACATTCATAAAACCGCAAACTAGAAATCACCATTTTATCTAAACTGGATGGTGCAATTCTAAGGCCTCTAGCTGTTGAGTGTGAATAGCTCTGGTGGCATAACACGGTAACGTGCTGTGCTCCTAACTGAACTGTTAGCAGTCTGAATCCACCAGCAGCCAGTAGAAAGAGTATGGATAGCTCCTCCTGTAAAGACTTAGACTAGGAAATCCGATGGAAGCGGACACTACTTATTGCCAGTAGGTTTGGATTTGTACGGCTTTTAGAGCAGACAGCTACCAGAGCTAGAAGGGAAAAGGTCTTACCTGTGCTGGGTTCCCCTGATTCCTCCCCAAAGCCCTGCGTATTGTCCTTCTTTTTCCTACAAAGATGCACAAAAAGGTCCACTTTTGGTAGGACATAAAGACCCCACCCCGTAATCCCCCTGGGTCGCGTCAGCAGGGTCCCAGAGACACAGCTGAAGCGCTCGTCCTGCCCCTGACCCGCTGTTTGACCTCGGGTGGCCCCCTCCCTGGGCAACCATTCAATTAGTTGCAAGGATGGCAAACAGAGGGTCCAAGATAAGGTTAAAGAGATTCCTGGGTATAACAGTGGTGGTCTCCTGAAGGACGGATCTGAGGATTTTCAGGAGGAAAAGGAGTCTAGATTTGGAATCCCGGAAGAGTGCGGAAGATCACGAAACTAATTAGAGGGAGGCGTGGCAAGAGGGTGTGTCCCGGCGGGGCGGGTCTCGAGTCGTGGGCGGGGCTAGGAACCGGGGCAGGATCACGTCCGCGGGGCGGGGCTACGGGTCCCCCGGTTGGGGCCACGGCCTGGAGCGGTCTACTCACAGCTTAAAGTTGAGCACGGCCCCGGCGTTCATCAGCAGGGTCCTGCAGAAGGAGAACGTAGCTACTGGAGTCGCCCCACGCCCCGTTTTGGCTCTTTTCCCATCCCCTGGGCACCCCAATTACCCGAACAGCAGGATGTCTCCGATCATCGTTACGGTCGAAGCGTCCGTCAGAGCCGGAAGCGGAAGCCCAGAGGAGGGAAGAGGGGAAAAGCAGGAGCCGACCAATCATGAAGCCACGCTGCCTTAGGCTGGACCAATGGAAGGCTACTACAGAAAGGTTCCACCCCCGGAAGTCCAGGTCCCCTTAGGCGAAATCGAGACTCCACCTAGCTGAGACCATTAACGTCACGTGAAAGGGCGGAGCACACATGTTACATCATCTTAGGGCGGAGCCATCTGGGCCTGCGGGTAAATGTGGCAGCGCATGCGTGAGAGTTTCCCCACCATTAGAAAATAAACAAGGCTTTACCCGCCTGAGATTCTCATTGTTGGGTTTCTCGTATACTCCGTCGCGGAGCTGTACAGGAACTGAGGGACCCGACACAGTGGGCTCCACACAGCAGATGGCCCCAAATGAATCTAAAAGGAGGAGTCCCTGATCGTGCGGGTCTGTTATGGGTAGGAGTCCTCATGGAGCCGGTCCTGTGGAGTACGGGAGCACCCACCAATGAGTCCTTCGGGAAGCAAATGTCCCTTGGAAGCGAGCCACATTGGGAATTGATGTTTGACCGAGGGAATCTCACAGGGTATATACTATGAGGGTCTCGATCGAGCAGATCCCTCGGAAGATTGCGATCCTGACTTGTGAAGCTCCACAAAGTGCAGAGTTTCCCAACTAAGCTCTAAAAGGGATCCAGAGCTAATAAACCCTGTGGGATCAGGGGTCTAGACTAAGAGGAGTCCAGAGAGGACCATGTTTCTGTCTTAGCGAGCCCCAAAGAGATCGGGCCCCCAGTGAGCGGGTCCCATGGAGCCCCAAAGAGATCGGGCTCCCAGTGAGCGGGTCCCATGGAGCCCCAAAGAGATCGGGCTCCCAGTGAGCGGGTCCCATGGAGCCCCAAAGAGATCGGGCCCCCAGTGAGCGGGTCCCATGGGTACAAGCGTGCTAACCGAGACCATAGGAGACCAGTCCAGCCTGGAGGCGGCGGGGGCGTCCAAGGGCGTCAGGCCCGGCCCGAGTCACTCAATGCACAGGGTCCTCAGCCCGCCTAGCCAGGATCCTTGGGGGAGCAGACGCCGCGGTCCAGGCCAGACTTCGCTCCTCCTCTCGGGGGCCGGGCCTGGGCGGTGCCTGGCGGCGGGGCGGGCCCTGCGCGGGGGCGCAGTTGCTGCCGCAGGAGGCACGACGGGGCCGGGGGCTGGGGTTGGACCCCGAGGGCGGGCGGGTGGGTGCCATGGATCTGCTGTCAGCACTGAGCCTGGGCGAGCTGGCGCTCAGCTTCTCGCGGGTGCCGCTCTTCCCAGTCTTTGACCTCAGCTACTTCATCGTCTCGCTCATCTACCTCAAGTATGAGCCAGGTGAGCTGGATTTGGGGACGCAGAGGGAGTTGACAAGGGGGGGGCAAAGGGTGCGGGACAGCTGGGGGTCTAAGGGGTGCAGACTTAGTGACGGGTTTGGGGAAGGAGGCGGTGCTGACATCATGAGGTGCTCCCCCTTCGGCGTGGGCTAGGGGTAGTGGAGGAGCCTGGGGGAGGGCAAGAGGTAAACCCAGATGGATGAGGTGGAGGAAACCTGGGGGTGGCGGGGGAAGGGGATGAAAATGTCAGCTCAGTTATTCAGGGGCGGATGGATTTGGGAAGACCCTGGGACTGGTTCGGGGGAGTAGGTGGTTCAGCGGTTGCGGGATTACCCCCTCGGACGCAGGTTAGAGTGTGGAAACTTAGGGGAACTGGAGAAGAAGCAGCCCCTGCGCCCTCGTGCTGGAGAGCTTGGGGGAGGGGGACGCAGGTGCCGTCCGGAGGGAGGAGTGGGACCAGATGGTTATGAAGCAGAAAACAGGTGCTGGGAGCTTGGGAGTGGGGGGCAGAAGGATTGTCGTGCAGGCATATGAGCTGGAGCCACAGGTCAAGGCGAGAGTTGGACGGGGGTCCTAGATGGGGGCCAAAGTAGATATCCTGGCCGCCCCCAGTCGTGACCTCGCTCCGTGTCCTTGGCGCGTTGAGCGGGATCGACAGCTGGTTGTCTATATATGGTCTGGCCGTGTTGGGGGCTAGGCTCCAGCTGGGCGAAAGTGACACCGATTACCCACCCCGCCGTGGGTGCCCTCCTTTCTCCTCGCTTAGCCGCTTCCCAGGGCGAATTCTTCCAGCCCTGGCGACCCTGTCCACTTACAGAGCAGAACTGGCCCCAGAGTAGGGTGACTTGGGGTCAAGCTCCTCCACCCTTCCCACACCTCTGCTTGACACTCTCAGGAGGGGAAACCCTGCTTCTGAATTTTTATAAATATTTAAAAAATGAGGATTAATGGCCTCCTTAGATGGCGTTCTATTTTTATACAAGGTTCCCAGGAGCAAATATTTCTCTTCGGCATGTTAATTATTCCAGCACACCAAGGAACTGAATGAATAGTAACATTTAACCTTAGAAAAAGGCACCAATCACTGCCCAACTTTGGAATCTTTTCTCCCTCTTACATGAGAATCACTCCAATGGATTTCCCCCCTCTGTATAGCTTTCTTTTTCCTCCGAGATGATAAAAATAGATACTAGTGCTTGCTTTAAAGAAAAAATACTCCACATAAACCAAAACTGAAAAACACAAAGAGAAAAAAGACAATTACATATGGTATCCATGTAGCTATCGATATACCCACTCATTGATATCCACTTACTTCTGATTTACAGCAATGCTCTGATGGATTAAAAATTCTGACCTTTATGTTAGCACTGTAATACATTACCAACTCTGCACACCATGGTTTCTACAGATATATGTTGTTGCTGTTGTTTGGTGCTGAATATGATTTCATAGTGACCCTCCTAACAACAGATCTGAATCTTGTCCTGTCCTGTGCCTTCCTCATCATCTCTGAAACACTTGAGCCCTTTGCTGCAGTCACTGTGTCAATCCACCTGGAAGGTCTTCCCCTTTTTCACTGACCCTTTACCTTTCCAAGTATGATTTCCTATTTGGAATAGCCATGGCTGAAGTATGTGAAATGAAGTTTCACCATCCTTGCCTCTAAGAAGCAATCCAGCTGCACTTTCTCCATACTTATCTGTTTGTTCCTTTGGCAGTTCATAGGATATTCAGTACTCTTCTCCAACACCACAGCTCACAGGCATTGATTCATCTTCTATCATCCTTATTCATTGTCTACCTCTCAGATGCATAGCAAATGATTAAAAAGGCCATGGCCTGGATCAGGCATACCTTCGTCTTTAAATTGACATCATTGCGCCTTAATACTTTGGAGTTCATCAGCCTTGGCCACCATGGGTCAGAAGAAACCTCCAGCCCAATGCTTCGTTCACAGATTTGAAATTTGCCATCTTCCATAACTGTGAGAGATCAAAAAATAGAAACTCTCTCCCTCTTCACTTTGGGTTCCATATTTTGATGCAACCTCTCACTGTTGTGATGGCTGGCAAACCCTAAATCTATGGGTCAGGCATTGAACTGGAGGCTTTTCCTGATGACTCAAGTGGTTACAGGGGCTGATAAATCCAAATCAGGGATAGGATGCTGGTTTACAAGGCTCCAGAAACTGGCAAATCAGCTCAGACAATAGACTCAAATACAATAAGTCAGATATCAGCCAGAGGCAAGATCCAGAGCAAGAACTTTGCCCAGAGTAAACATAGGTATTGGATACACACCATAACCTCGAGGAAACTCCCCTTATTTGAACAAGGTGGTACTGCAAGATTGTTACCTGGGAAAAGGGGAGTAAGGGTGGTGACAGGGGTAACAATAACTTGAGATTACTTGAGTCAGATCCTCTAATAAGGGAGTGACTCAAGATATATCTCACCCTGATTCTGCTTTAATAAAGATCATAATAAGATCATAACCATAGACATAAAGCTAGGATTTAGAACACATTGCAAAATGAAGGACAATCACATGAGATCACAAATTAGAGGACATTTGCATTCTTTATATAATTGTCAAACCACTGAAAATTATGATCTAGCCAACTTGACACATAACTGTAACCATCCCAGGTTCCATCCATCTTATTTGCATAATCAAGGAGCTGTCCAATTTCCTTGGGCCACAAGTTCCTTCTTTGCATGTTGTTATGTTCTATCTAATCCATAGCTGACCCTCCAGGGGGTTTTCAGAGATAGTTAATCACATGGGAGGAGATTGCTCATCTTTTTCTCTTCTTTGCATGTTAAGTGCCTTCAAGTCAGTTCTGATTCATATCAAGTGACAACAGAACAAAACACCACCTAGTCCTCCAACACCACAATCATTGCTGTGTTGGAGCTCACTGATGCAGCCACTGTGCCAATCCATCCTGTTGCGGGGGTTCCTTTTTTTTTTCTGATCATCTACTTTTTCCAAGCATAATGTCCTTTTCTAGGGACTGGTTTCTCCTCATGATGTGTCCAAGTATGTGAGATAAAGTCAAGCCTCAAAGTCTCACCATTTTGAAGTCAAGTCTCAAAGTCTTGCCATCTCTTCTCTATGGGGAGGTCCTAATATTTGGTGATACCCTGGTGGCCTAGTGGCAAGAAGCTGCGCTGCAATGCCAAAGGCACACAGTTCGAGTCCACCAGCTTCTCCACTGGAAAATGATGGACATTCTCCTCCCATGCTATTAACTACTTCTGAAAACCTGCCAAATAATAAAATAAAATAATAAACCTACAAAATAGCAGAGATAGCACAAGTGGATGGCTTTAACACATTCTAAGTGTTAAGAAGTCTAAGTTCAGGGTGCCAGTTCTAGTGAAAGAACTAGTTCTCTGTATTGATTCTGGAGGAATGTCTTTATTCCCTTCAGCATCTATAGACCTGCCATTCCTTGGAGTTGGGTTTTGCCTTCCTCTGTACCAGGAAGTTTCTCAGCCCACTGTCCTGAGTCCAACAGGACACACTCCACTCCTGGCAGTTCTTTCTTGGGAGTATTGAGGTCCTACTTCTCAGCTGGCTTTCCTCCCCTTTTATCTCCAGTGAGAAGGAAGATTTCACAGGCAACCGCCTAGAATCCCCCTTACATAGAATCAAGGCTGTTATTCGATTAAGGGGTGTCACTTTCTACCTTTAGTCCTTTTATAACTATTTGGTTTATTAGATCATTGGGAGTTGTTAAATAGTTTCAATGTTATGTTATTAAATACATATATTTTGGGGACACAATTCAATCCATGACAAGAGCAATTTGGTTGTACATAGTCATGTACATGAAAAAAATATATATATACATATATATGTAAATTATATGTGTGTATTTGCATATTTCTACACAGTCATTGAGTATGAATCATTATGACTAACTAAAAGGACCATATTAAGAAATTCACTACACACTACAAGCCACCCCTGACTTCTCTAGCCATTGAACTTTTTAATATTTGAAGGTTTATCTTCCCCCCTCTCAATTATTTTACCAGTTCAAATCAATAACTAGGAGAACAAACAGGTTCATTCTAGAGAAGAAGAGACCAGATTGCTCCTTGGAGGCAAGGATGCTGAAGCTTCATCTGACATCCTTTGGGCATGTTGCAAGAAGGGACCAGTCCTTAGAGAGGGATGTCATGCTTGGGAGGGTTGGAGGAATAGCACAGGAGAGGAAGATTCTGGATGAGGTGGACTGATTCAGTGATGAGGGTAATGGGGATAGGTGTGTCAGAGACAGTAAGATTGACACAATATAGAGCAGGGTTTAGGACTGTTGTACATAGGGTCACTATGCGTCGCAGGAGACTCAACGGCACTTACAACAACAACAGATCAGTTCTTTAGTTGAACCAGTAGCCAGAGGGTGAGTTTGCTCAGGTCTCAGCCATTCAGGTTGATTGCAGGCATCTATCTCTGATATGGTTTGTTTCTCTAGTAGATATTCTGGGTTCACCCTCTCTGGCTTCTAATAAAGTTTTGCTGAGAGGATTCTCTTGCTCTGAGTCTCTCAGAGGTATCACCATAAATCTAGCTACTCTCTCTGCTGCATCACTGTTTATTCAATCCTTAACCTCCAAAGATTTCTTCTTCCTTCCATTTGTTATTTATTTTTACCCTAACTTTTCTACTTTGAGAAAAGACCTTGGGTTCAGCTGCTTTGCTGGTCTCCGTCGATGGCAGCAAAACAAGCGCTTCCCACTCAGTTCCTTTTCCTTGACGTTAAGTAGGGCCACGTAGGAATAACCTGGAGGCTATCTTGACTACTAAGCACCACAGAGGTATTCAGTGTCAACCCCAGTTTTACCAGATGGACAGAAAGGTGCAGTCCATCCCACTAAGCCATTGGGAATGCTGGTGTACAGTTTCAGGGGTATAATTACTCTGAAATGACCCTCATAATCCTTTAATATCTTGCTTAGAGATTATCCCTATTTCCAGTGCCCA